GATGTGATGAGAAGTCAAGTTTATTTTCTATTTAAACATAAAAACAAGATTTTAATAACAACCGAAGGTGACTTGGTTACTTTAGTAAGTATAGAATTTAAATAAATGCCTGAGAAACACATAATATTGTCCCTTTGAAAGTCTTGATCATGTCAAACAACATTAGGTATGAGAAAGACTGGTCTCATTTATAATAATCCAATAGGTTACATATTTTTCCAACTTAAATATAAGAATATTGTGCAATTAAATACAATAAAAAAAGAATAAAATAGAAGACCCTGAATAAATACCTCAACAAATCCAATGAAAAACAAAATGTACCTTTAAAAAGTAAAATATCTATTCAAGGTTTCTTATGTTATTTAAGGTGAATCCAAGCACTGCTGGATAGAAATCCTGAGCAGATGACTGGAAAGGACTGCTTGTATCTGATTTTTAAAATTTGAGATTTTAGATGCAAGTTGATATAATCTGATATTCATTTTTTGACTAATATCTGTCCAATATTGATATCGGATTGGGACARGTCTACTTTCAAATGCTTTTCCTTATTTAAATCCTTCAGTTAGGGTTTATATYAAGTAGAACTGCAATGCATTTTCTGCCTCCTAGAGACTCCAAGTACGAAACAAAATGTATTTAARGGCTAAACAAGTGGATTTAGCATGATACGTCCCCTTTTAACCTGCTCTGGATTTATGGTTGCTCATATGTAGGTTCTGACCGCACTTTGGCACTAATCTGTCCCCGCCTCTGCAACGCGCAGGAATATCCCTCTTTCTGGTTTCTGTTTGCAATCTGCTCTTTCTCCTCCGTGCACACGTCCGTGGTTCTGATGAGTGATCTTCTGCATCGACGCGCGGTGATCCYAACGCCTCCCTTTTTGTCTCTCTGCATCAGAGCTGCTGCCAGCTTCAGTTCCTGCAGCAATCGCAGTTTATCCGACCAAGACATTCAGATTAGGACCATCCCAAAGCTTTCCCCTCCAAGCTCCAACGTGCATCTCCAGCAGCACTGATGATGAACTCTAAATGAGTTCTCCACAGGCAAAGGCTCAAACTGCAGACGTTCATTTGTGTAGAAATATAGATTTGAGAAGATCAAGCAGCAGGAAAAAAAAACAGTTTTTCATGAGCAGACTTATAAAATGAAGGGATATCTGAAGCATTTTAACCAGCTTCAGTGTTGCAGACATGTTTTTTTTTTTATTTTTAAGTACATGAGGCATGAAAGAAGTATTTATTTGGCTTGTATTTTCTCTGTGCTGATAAATGTTCTGTTTAAAACACTGTTTCTGCAGGTCAACCAGAAAAACACATGTAATTTATATGAATACAGCCCAACAACAGTAAAGTGCCCATGGTGATGATTTACGGTGACATTTGATGTTACTTGCTGCTGTAAACTCACAATTATAAGGCTGTAAATTCCAAATAAATAAAAACCATTCCTGTAAATAAACAGAATCATCTCCGCTTTATCAACACGAWGCTAAGAAATAAGAAAATACTGATTATTACTGTCCAATAGAAGGGCTTTTTTTTAACATTGGATGTTAAACTTTAAAGAGAAGACTTACAGGTTTAACCCGATTGTCTGGATTTTACTGTTAATTACTCATAGTGGTAATTAAGATTAAACACAAAGCTTTTGAAAAGAAGCAGAGCTGCAATCATGAGTTGAGCAGAGCAGGAGTAATTATGGGAGAAAGGAAACAGATAGTTTTGTTCCAGTCGTAGTGTAAAAGGATTTAAGTCGAGGCTCAGAAGGTTGGTTTTGGATTTGAATGTCAGAAAATCTTTCTCCCATAAAATCACAAAATCACATTTATTTCATCTAAAATTCACATTTTATTAAAAACCGTGTCTGATCTCATTTAGCCATAAAAGCATCTGTAGACTGAAAACTGTGCTGGACTTCAGTTTTTCATCACGTTTACGTTTGTTTCAAATCACATTTTGTTGTTTAAGGATCACCACGACCGCCGCCTGCATGATGGACCTGCGCAGATATCCACTGGACGAGCAGAACTGCACCTTGGAAATTGAAAGCTGTGAGTGACACTGATTTTATTTGCGTAAAAAGGGAAAAAAAGAATGCAGAAATATTTAAAGAGCATCTTTGACTGAAAACTTTTTGTCCTCGTTCTGTTCTGCCGTGTGGTGCAGAAAATGTAGAACAACTCATCAAACAAACACGACGTGAGGAGAGAATACAACTTATTGTGTGTCGACAAAATGATTCGTATGTCAGAGTTACGTGTCTTAAGGGTTCTCAAACTGGGGTCCCAGGACCCCTAGGGGTTCGTGAGCCCTATCATAGAGGTCCAAAATGAAAAAAATGTTCAATAAATTGTTAATTTGGTTTTCATTTTTAAAAATGCATATGGGTAACAATGCACTAGTTAAACAAACATACTAAACCAAACAAAGGAATAATATGTCCATGACATTTAGGGGTTAAAATGACAGTAAATTAATTTTAAAATAGCGTGGGGTTTATGAGGGGGTCCCTGAAAAATTTMCACCCTTATAAGGGGTCCTCAGACCCAAAAGGTTTGAGAACCCCAAACAAAACATTTTCAGATACCGGACTGAAACTGAGCGAAAAATCAGCCAAAAACCAATAAAATCTTTTGAAAGACTTTTGAATGTTTGGGAAATGAAACTTAGCACAAAAGTAAGGAAATCTGTGTTTGGCAGAAAATTTCTTTGTTGCTTTTTAAATTAAATTAAATTAAATTAAATTAAATTAAATTAAATTAAATTAAATTAAATTAAATTAAATTAAATTAAATTTATTTCATTTAAACTTTTATTTAACCAGGTGTTTCAAGATTAAAAATACTTTTCAAAGGAGACCTGGCCAAGAATAGCAGGAGCACACAGACATTACCAAATCCAAAACTACAGATATTAAATTACAATCAAATACATCATGATAAATAAAAGAAAAACAAGAAACACCCACAAAAAGTAAGATAGGACTAAAATAAAGCACAAAATCAGTTAAAGCATTTACAAATAAACATGTACAAAATGTTTAAGAATGGCCCTAAAATCATTAAAAGGAACCAACTCTTTATATAATAAATCTTGACTAGCATTAATCTGTTAATTTCCCTTTTAAATGGTGTCACATTTGTAAGGAACATGCATTTGTGGGATGAGCAGTGGTATGTGTTATTGATGCTGGTGAAAGATTTAGCGCTAAGAATCARTGGTAAAACAGAAAAATAATCTACAAAACACAAATTTCCTTACTTTTGTGCTAAATAAAGATGCTTTAAAAATAAAGGCTACTTGGAAGGAACATTTCAAGAAATGTAAGTTGGATCAGAAGTTCAGAGCAGAACAATTTGCTCCCAAACACCATTAAAGGTTTAACCCACAGTGACATCCAGTGTTCCGCTCGCTTCATCATTGTACTTTAATTAACTCCCAGCTGCAGTACACAGACTTATCAGTCACGTTGAGGGTGTTTAATCCTATTTAACTTTGAAAAACTTCTACATTTTRCTCCTCTTCCTCCTCCTCCTGCCACCTGTCTGCACCTGTACTTCCTGTGGTCGCTGAGGTCAGAAGGAACTGATACAAAGAGACGTTTCCTGTTTGATCAGAGTGTTTCAGCTGAATAATTTATAATACTGTCATGAAAAGTTGACTCCAATGCTTTATGTATGTCTGCTTATAGAGGAGATGCACATCCTTTTCACCTGGAGCTTCATTCATAAATCATGGATATGAAAACCACACAGCTCTGCAAAGAAGCATTTATTCTTTTTGTGTGGAAACAAGAAGAGGGCTACAGTATCTTAGAATAGAATAGAATAGAATAGAATAGAATAGAATAGAAACAACCTTTATTGTCCCACGCAGGGAAATTTTGGTGTAATAGCAGCAGCAGATGCATAAATCAATCCACAGAAACAGTATATTGCTGTGTGACATTATCAACTGTAGCAATAATAATATAATTAAGGATAGTAACAATAAAAAATAAACATAGATCAAAATAAAAATAAGAACAATAAATACTGTATCGTACTATCAAGACGAAATTAGATAAAAAATGAAAGATAAAAGCAAGATACTGTGCAGAAAAATACAAAATTACAGGATAAAACTGTCTTGTGGTTCGAGGGGTTGTGCAAAATGAGTCGAACTCAGTCATCAAGTTAGTGTTCCAGTACAGGAAAAAACATGTACCTCTGGTTATTATTTATGTGATGATTGGGAGGTAGAGTTCTTTGATGTGCAAACACAAAGACYGATGCTTATCATGATTGTTGCGAGCGGTGATGGTTATAGAGTCTAACAGCTGATGGGAGGAATGATCTGCGGTAACGCTCCTTTGTGTATTTAGGATAAGGCTGTCTGTCACCGAAGGAGCTCTGCAGATCGGCCACAGTTCCATGCATCGGGTGGGAGACTTACTCAGAGAGGGTTACAAACACTTTCAGAAGAAATCCGTTCACTTTTTATAAGAAATAAGATTATGCAAAGAACATCAGTGCTTTTGAATCGTTCCAGTTCTGCAGATAAATCCCACCTCGGTTACATTATTGTAATTGTCCGCTGAAACCATTATAATCTTTGTTTTCTCATGTGTATAAAACGAATAAGGAAAAATGGGGTAAAATCATAATAAAGCTCTTCAGCTCATGATAAGCAATTAATTGCAGGAAATTCTGTAGCTGCCTGAAGATAAGAGTCTGAAAAGATAGACTCACTGGCCCAATTAAATCGGTCTAATTACCGACGGGCTGGTTCGCTCCGGTCCAGGCTGTAGGTGTAGCCTAGAGAYCTGCCAGGAAAAGCAAAGGGATGACTTTATTGTTGATCCAGTTCAGCCTGTGGGAAACTGGAAGGCGTCCAGCTGCTGGACAGAGAGTCACAGAGCCACTTTTAGTCTCACTGCGAGTAAGCTCTTAATTATGAAAAACGAAAAAGACATTAGACTGAAGACTTTTTTCATTGTTGCAAACCAAAACTAACGTCAGTTTGCTAAAATCTGGGTTCTGAATGGAAGTCAGAATTAAAATCAACAAAGAGGAGGTGAAGAACAGTGGTGAAATGAGTGATTTGGTTCCTGCAGCAGAACTGAAGACGGGCAGCTGGGGAACAGATCTGTGCACGCCAACGAAGAGAGTCTGTTATATCAGTTCTGGGAAAAGTGTCAGATTGATATTCGGTTGAGGATTAAGTCCTGGTTGACTGAGAGTCGACACCAACACTTAGCCCCTGTTAGCGCCACACCTGTGCAGGTGCCTGAAGTCACAGTCGGGTTCACGCCTTCCATCCTCCTGTCTCCATCAGATGGATACACGACTGACGACATCGAGTTCTACTGGCAGGGAGGGAGCAACTCCGGCTCCGTCACTGGGGTGGAGAACATCGAGCTGCCCCAGTTCTCCATCATAGACTACCAGACCCTCTCCACGAAGGCGGTGTTTGCCACAGGTAACCAGTCACATGAGGTCACTCATCCCAGTCTCAACCAGTGGTGGACAAAGTACTCAACTCTTGTACTTGAGTAAAAGTATTGATACTCAGGGTCAAATCTGCTCAACTACAAGTAAAAGTTACTCTGTCAAAGATCTACTCAAGTTAAAGTACTGAAGTATACTTTTGAAAATACTTAAGTATTCAAAAGTACATGCATTTAAAAATACTAAAGTATTCAAAAGTACAGATTAAAATGTCTAATATCAGTACATTGCTGTATTGTTTTCAGAATAATTTTACAGAACCTCGAAACTCTCAGAAAACACCTGATGTTTTGACACGTAGAACCACTCTGCTACAAATTTTGCATGTGACTAACCTGTTTGTCCATGTGGAGGCAGTGCTRATAAYGCTGAATTCACCTGAAACTCATCAGACTGAAGAAGTCTCTTGGAGGAGAGACGAAACTTTTCACTAAAGAAGAACCCATCCAGATGAGCTACTTATTTTTGATCTGCTACAAATACACCACCTGTAAAGACTTCAGCATAAAAATACAATAAAATGAGTGATGAGTTCTTAAATGCAGAAATGTAGTTTATCTGCAGTGAACCCATAAGACGTTTAAACTGATAGGAACTATTTTTCAGTCCTAAAATCTCAAACGTGGACCTGAGATTTGGTCATGAGTGTTCTGGTTTCTGCACCCTCTTCGGATCTTATCATCCATTAAATGGACYTTATTAGCCATTATCAGTCTCATAGAATGGCTTCAGACTGGCTTCAGACTGTCCCGACTGTGCCTCCTAGTGGGTTCTCCGTCCCATAGAATGGCTTCAGACTGTCAGCTGGTTAGTATGAGGCATAAAGCCACGAGAAAATGACATGGGCTTTGAAAAAGTAGACCGGACTCCGGCGGTAGCAGATTGTTGCATTCCAACGTATATGACACTGGTAACCCACTACTTCAACCGTCTCCATCGAAATGAAGGTGGAGCTCAGCTCACCCCCGTTAATGAAGATGATGTCATTCCAAATCAATCCTAGATGTGAGCTACGACTGTGATTGGTTCCACTTGTGAGAAACACAGTGTGGCATTTCAAGAAAGAAAAATAGCAACGGCTGYTTACAAAGCTACGCTGAACCAGAAGTGACTAAAAGCTTTCTAGAAATGTAGTGGAGTAAAAGTCATAAGTACCCCAAAAAAGAATTACTCAAGTAAAGTAAAGATATACAAAAAATGTACTTAAGTACAGTACTCAAGTAAATGTAGTCAATTACTGTCCACCACTGGGCTCAACCCAGACAGGTTCAGGTGTGACTTCCTCCTCTGGTCTCATTTCTGGATGCAGCTGCAGAGTGCGTTGATGGTCCTCCGAGGTTCTCCTGAGTCCATGTGGAGATCTTGACCATGATGATGGTTTATGACCTTTGATTTGCACACAGATATCCTCAGACTTCATGCCTTGTTGGCTCAGTGGGAGCAGTGTTTGTTTCAGCAGAACTGGTCTCAGTGGACTACTTGTACAGGGTTTCCCATCAATAGATGTTTTTATTTTCCTTCTATTTAATAAATGTACTCTCATAGAATGCATAAGGAAGTCACACTCTGATTGGCCACCAGAGTTTAGATATCAGTCAGAATCTTTGGGACGGGTTAGAGAAGGATTAAACTGCAGAGAAACTCTCCTGTTGCTATTCATTCAGAAAAAAAAAATCAAATAACATAATAATTCAGTAAATATACTCTAAATACACTCCCTGTTTTCACAGGTTCATATCCACGTCTGTCGCTGAGCTTCAAGCTCAAGAGGAACATCGGATATTTCATCCTGCAAACCTACATGCCCTCCATCCTGATCACCATCCTGTCCTGGGTCTCCTTCTGGATTAACTACGACGCCTCGGCTGCCAGGGTCGCATTAGGTCTGTGCCTCCTCAGCTCCTCAGTGTTATGAATTATTAAATTCAAAATGTATTTTTGTTGTTGTGGTTATGACTCTGTGGTAGTCTTTTTTTTAACAGATGGAGTTTTATGGAGGGATTAGAAAAAATACACAAAATCACTTTGGAAAGTGTTCAAAATGTGTTAAGTTTTGTTTTTTCCTCCGTGCTTTTTAAGGTTAATCCAGGAAACTGTGTCATAATTTCTTACCAAACTGTTTGAAAATCAATCTGAGACCGCTCTGGATTATTTTGAGATATTGCTGATAAACCTATTTCATAAAATGCGCTGAAACATGCATGTTAATGCTGTGTGTGTGTGTGTGTGTGTGTGTGTGTGTGTGTGTGTGTGTGTGTGTGTG